ATCTTTAACTTTGAATGTTTTGTCCCCTAGGTATGCCGTACAAATTCATTAGCATAGCTCCGAATGTCATACGGTTGTCTCGACTCCGCTTTATACCCCCTTAATGAGTAGTTTTATTTGTCGTTGTCATCTTGATTGCCCCTGTACCCTTTCTTCATTCAGAACCTACCCCCTGTTATGATTTTCAGTCCCAGTTTTTATTGGCTTTATAAACTGACGGACCGTTAGAGACTGAACCTTGTGTAAACTAAATCAGTACACATTTCCTACTTCAGTGTGATTTGGGCTTTGGGCGTGTGATTGGTCAGCCCCGGCTGGGAGTTATCAACGACGAGCCTTATGGACGTGAGTTGACATTGGATACAGCCGCCGAAATGAGTATCGGGTCTTGCACACCCGGTCTATTCGTGATTTTCCTAAAAAATGAGTTTTAATTTCACTTCAATCGACCATGGATCATTCCAAGAGCTTATAGTAGAAGGCGATCGGGGAGATGATGGAAGACTTCGAATGGGTTTTAAGAAAGGCGTCGGTGAGGACAGGAAGGCGTAATACTTGGGCAGAGTATATATATTCAACATGCTATGGCGTGTTCCTCGTTTAACTCTTCCTCTCTGACCTTCGATTCCTTTGAATGAAAAGGTCAATTCGACAGGGACATGTTTACTGGACAGAGATAACGGTGACCAGTCTGAGTACTGAACTCTTCGCTGCCTTGGAGAATTCGGCTGACTCCTCTGTCACGAGGTTGGAGTTGATTGTCCGCTTCTCCCCTCAGTGATGCATTTAAACAACACAGGTATTATATAGGGGGTCGACGATGTCCATCCCTACCTGTCCCCTGCGAAACCCGTGGGCATGGGCTGCGGTGGTGCGATTATTGTGGAGTGAAGCCTTCTGAAGTTGCCGCAAGTGATACAGATTTGGCAAAGGGCAAATGCAGGCCATCATTACCCTCTGCTTGAGGCATCTAGCATGGCCTTCTCACCCATGTGGTGCAGCTGCACGTGTAACTCTTGGAGATCTACTTGTATCAACGATCCTGGTACCACTGGGCGCTTAGGAGATCCAATACCTTGGTGTCATGAAACTTCCTCTAGGGAGGGTTTAGGTCACTCCTGCCATATCTGTCCGTCCGCCTTGCTAGATGAGGTAATCTCTTCCACTGTGGGTTTAAAAGAGTATGTCAGGAACCTCCCATTCATCAGAGCCATGTCGGGATCGGTGCTCTGCGTATTTCTCCACTGACGTTCAGCCGGCTTGTTCAAGGAGGTGGTGCGCACCGCAACACTGGCCATTCCAGCCTCGACTGGTCCGCAGGACCAAGAGTTCTGTTTTGCACTATCAAATCCTATTGTTGCAGTTCTTCGTACCAGCATGCAACTGAGCGACCGACCTCCATTGTTTTTATCCAGGTGAGTACCCGATGATCCGTTTCAACTATGACCTTCCTCACTATCAGGTAGTGTCTGAAGCGTCTAACCATTGTGTAGATAGCGGATAGCTCACGTTGTGTTGCGCTTTTCTGTCTCGTTTTTTTCTGAGTCTAGTACATGCGTAGACGATGACGTGTTCCTTTCCTTCTTTGTCCCTTTGGGAGAGTACGCCGCCTACGGCTGCGTTGCCCGCGTTCGTATCCAGTATAAATGGTGGGTCACTTGATGCAAGGCTTGGTAGTGCTAGTATTGGCGCGGCGCAGTCGCTCCAGTTCTTTAAGCGCCTCATGATGCTCTTTCTCTCACTTGAAATTCTCTTTTACCTTTTTTTCGAATAATTTATACAGCGAGCTGGTAGTATGAGTCGGCTTCAAAAGAAGCGCTGCACCAAGCCAGCGACCCTGTTTAAGGTGGGCCTAAAAAGGCATGCTCCGTTAGATATTAAAGATTTCTAGTGTACTCTTTGTAAGCTTCGCCCGATTTTTGGGAGTAATGTAATGTGTCTGGTGGTATTGAGAGTGATGTCAACATTTATTGCAGCGGAAAACAAATCATGGCGGAGGCTACAGAGGATTAGGGATAGGCTTTGGAGTTGAGGATAGAGGCAGGAGTTAAATTCTGCGGTTTTGCGCCTTTCAAAGTTCATGTCGTCCTTGAGTGGGGGGAGGTCCGCCAACGCAGCCGCCATTTTAATCTGCGCCTCGTTTAAGGCATCCTCTCTTCCCTTCATACCCTTTAAACGAACTGGTTGATTGGGTGGGGACATGTTTGTTAGTCAGCGTTAACCATAATTAGTACAAGTTCAGGGAAGTCTGGGTAATGAACTTTTCCTCTGCCTCAGAACCCTCATGACTTCTGTGTTACAAAAGTAGAGTTCAATGATCGCTTCTTGCCAAAAGGGCACATACGCAATAAGAATACGACAGTACATAATCATGCTGATATTGGCAGAATTGGCAATCTACATAATTGTACTGCATCTAACAAAAATTACCGTCTGTTTGATTTGTAATTTATACCTTAAGCGTTGAAGCCTTTAAGTAAAAAAGGGTACGGTTAGCAGCCATTTTTAAAATACCTGAATTGATTATTTTAACACTTTATAATTGTTGATTTAAAATGGCAATAAGGCAACAAATGTAACAATGTTACATAAAGCGATAGCTTTTTTGACAATTAAGCAACAGAGGACTAACTCAAATTTCCAAGCTTTTGTTTAAATTTATTCAAAGTCCTTTCTACCTTGACGGCACCTTCAAATACGCGATCGACTGTATTGAAGGCGTCTTAGCAATAATGCCAGTTGCGCAGAAGTTTGCTCCTTTAAACAATGGGTTTCGTGTACCTGTAGTCGGTTTTGACGCATCAAAAGTGAGTTTGTTTGTTTCGTGTATTACTTTATTTCAGCTTCAGGTGTTTGAACTCGAAAAGACTTTACTTTGTGCTATTGACTCCGGCTATCGGCATTTTCACTGTGCTTCTGATACCGAAAATCAGAGGGCTGTCAGAAGTGTTTTAGAAATGAAGCTTTCTTCTACAACATTGAAAAGGGCTGACTTTTTCATATCATTAAAAGTAAACGTGTGAAATAAAGTTGCCGATTTGTTATAGACTCCAATTACCCTAAAGGAAACACAAAATGTCAGGAACTGCCTTGAAGAAGCACTGTCAAGTCTAAATTTGTCCTATTTAGACCTCTACTTACTACACAATCCGTTTACCTTTACGGTGAGAAACATATTAATGAACTATGTTTTAGGCTATTGAAAACCATCGGATACCGCCGAAAACCATCGAGCAGATGTGGCGCGTAAGCCAGGCAATTGCACCTAACATATAGTTGATCAAACTAGTATTCTTGCCAAATTACATTGTGCTAATTTTATCATGGCTAATGTAGAGTAAAACAGGCGCAACAAGTCCAATAAATCGACCTTTCGATTCGCTGTTTTAAGTAATTTATCAAAGAGGAATGTTTTAAAGGATATTTTTTGCCAGTCTCCCTCGGAAGAGGATCTTGTTGTAGCAAATAGTTAAAATGATCATTTTTACCAGTGAACGACGAATTTACGTTTTCGCAAAATTATCGAGGCCCGGAATTCTATAATTATGCGTAAGAATTCACTACTTATGCTTTTACCTGAATTATGTTCTAGAAGTAAGTTATCATAAGTGGATTGTTATGATTTTTTTTCAAATATTAGGCAATGGAGCAGCTAGTTGATGCGGGTCTTGTTAAGTCAATTGGCTTGTCGAATTTCAGCAAGGATCAAATCGACCGCTTGACCAAGTTTTGCAACATCAAACCTGTATTACTTCACGTTGAAGCTGCCATTATTACACTTAATCAGGAGCTTATGGAATATGCTCACTCCTTCGGAATACAGGTCATGATACACGACATTCCCTCATCCCCTTCAACGCTGTAAGTTATTTTTTCTTTTCATTTTACTCCTATGTAAAAGCTCTTCTTTTAAATCTAATTCTATTTAGAAATTTTGAAATGTTTTACAGAGAATGTTTGGATTCTCTTCTGTCAAAGATTTTTACGACTTCATTTAACTAATATAAAGATGTCATTGTGCCTCGTCAAGACCTTGGGTATCGCCTTTAGTTGTGAGCGGCTTTTGTGTTTATATGGTGAAACTAGTTGCTCGGGCATCCTTGAATGAAAAAACGCCTTGCTTCCATTTTTTCCTCTTTGACTTCGATTGTGTTTGGTTTCCGGATTCTCGGCATCTAAATATTTCTTCATCCTCACTTCTTAAAGAGTATAATATTCCCTTAAAACGAGCTGAGAGAGGGAAGTGAAGGCAGATTGGCTGGCACACATGGAGCATTTTGAGCATGCAAAGTACATAACCACTACCTGTATTAATGGATACAGTTGATGGAGGATTCACGATCCACTTGATGGCAAAAAAAGTGCACTTTATGTATATGTTTCATGTTTATGCTCTTGCACCAGTGGTCACGTGAAGATCCTCCAAAAAACGACTCTGCCTTCAAAAGCACTGTCCATTTGGCACCTAAACATAATGCACAGTGGCCATGGCGTTTTTTATCATACTTAAATGGAACACACCCACTTAGATGTCGAGTAGGCGTATAAGGTAACAAGTTTGTGCTCAATTTGTAAACGCTATGTCCCTTCAATCAGGTCACTAACGTCATCTGAATACCTTTCCACTGTCGCTATATGCTAACACCAGGTGCTACTGAAAATGAAAAATAAGTAGCGTGCAAGTCTGTTTAGTTCAATTCAGTATTTTGTTCGCATTGGCAGATAAATGGACAGGTAAATAAACAAGCGTGCCTAGGGTCTCCAGATACACTTCCTCCATTCTCTAGCGTGTAACAATCCTGCGCTTAGGTAAAATCAGGATAAGAAAACAGCAACCGAAATCGTGAAACGCCATGGATTACTTCTTTTTGCATGGAATAATGTAACCTGACTTTTTCAAATTTCCATTGAAATCAGAATTGTGAAACTCAAACACCGTTTACAACTGTACTACATAAAGTTCTTCATGAAAAGAGTTTTGAGTTCCGACCTGCCACTGCCCCCTTACACATCTGTCATCAAGTTGATGGAATCAATGCGTACGCATCAAATTTCTTGTCTACACACAGGTAGGCTTTCGTTGGTGTTGTTTACATTAGAGGAGGTCAAACCACCGTCCCTGCGGTCCTACATCCAAAAATCAAATGCTGGACTATCCATCAACAAAGAAAGCAGCTTTTTGAGTAGTTTTGTTTTTTTATTGGCTTGGCTAAATTACTATCAAGCATGGCAATCCAGTTACCTAATACTTCATGATGGGATCCAAAAGTGAGCAAATTCACTTGCGGTTGATGACAAGCTTAGCTTAAAACTCGCTAGACAGTGACTGGCCTTGCAGATCTTGTTTCTGGTTTCTTGTTAACCAGTTACTTTTCTACCTTGAATGAATGAAGTCTGTGACGGAGAAGCAGATATAGGCTCAGTCAGCTATCCCTGGTTGCCAGAGTTGGTTAGGGTAATTGTATAAAGCATTGACCAGCGCGTCCGTCCAACTCATAAATGTGTCACTCTCGCGCAAACATCCGGTAAGGATAACATCACGTAACCGTGGAAAGGTGAATTTAAAACCGCCTTTGTGGATAAAACCCCTCTATTTACCTGTCTGCTTGCAACTGGCTTTCTTGTCAAGGCAATATTGTTCTAGGTGAGTAAAAAGAACTTCAATCATCTCCTGAAAACACTTTTAAAAGGCCTCATTATTGCGGTCTTCTACCGTTATTCATTGCCCTTTTGTATTGAAAGGCCATTGGAAAAATACAATTTCGTCGGACTACTGCATACAACCACATCAGCAGACTTTTAAGTTACACGAAGTCACCTATTTCGCCATAGATGAGTTGCCCTGGCATTAAACTGTATATTTGTAATAGAAGCCACCAAAAAGTGGCATTTAATATCTCTCCTCCCTCGGTTCTAAAGAACTATACCAACCTCCTTCACGACATCCATTCATTCATGCAAAGATTGTACTGATTTGTCTGTCCCCATAAAAGGGTGAATAGGGAGAATGGTAAGTCTTAGCAATGCTCCAGGGCTTAGGCTTTTAGATTTAAGCCTTCTGACAGTCATGGTTAGGGAGTGGCGCTGTTCACACTAGTAGAATATAATCTGGCCTTTTTTTGTTTCTGGGGTAGAACAAATTACCTAGTCTTGTCTTGATAATTATCACCTAGCGCTTTCTTTTTCTCTGTTTGACGTACGACGAGGTGTTTTTAGAGCCTCGTAAATTAAAGTCTGGAACCATGTATATGCTAGTTATTTATGAGTAAGGAGACTACACTTTTGACCCATTTTTGTATCGTATTGTTGACACTGACGTGTGTCAGATGAATGTTGGTTGTCAAAACAGCCACCTAAACGATTTTGAATTCTACATGAAGTGAGGTAATTAGTTGCCTTGATGACAAATGAGATAGACAGGTGGAACAAAACATAAATAAGCCTTGGTTAATCAACTCTTTACCAACATTGACTCTTACGAAGCTGTCATAGTCTTGGCGTTAATTATAGAGTATCTCTGTGTACCAGTACCAACCTGCTTCAGCAGGACGAGAAATTCGGAACCGCCAAAATTTGCTTAAAATATTTATTTCACACTGGAAATAAGGCCATCCGAACAATGCAGATTAGGAGGTCGGAATTATCTCTGTGGTTAGGGCTTAACTAGATACCGGGTCAGGATAGTGGTCGTGTGAGGTCATGGCACGACAGGCGTGTTTCCACCTCGGCCACATTCATCCACAAGCCGAGTGCTGATATCAGCCCATGCAGAATTTACGCTTATATTTAATGTTAAAAAAGGCTTAATATGGCGCATTTACACTTAAGAAATTCTTTCAAAAAGCTGAAATACAAGTTTTCCCCCCTAGCTTGTAAAAGCTTAACTGACTGCCATGAAGGTGTCACTTAAGTGGTTGCTTAACGACCCGTGAGACTTGCGCGGAGCTCTATTTATAATTAAAGAAAAAAATTTTTTTTTAGAGCCTGACCACGTTTAAGGTAACAAGTTTACGCTATTAAAGATACCGTAGCAGTTTTATTTCGCTACACTGCTATAACGTAATGACAAGCCAAAATGTCAGCAGTATTTATCTAGTTGCTGTGCTACCTTTTTACTTCTCTGCACCAAGATAACCTTATTAAATACTGCCCGAATGTATAAATGTTCCAAAAAAGCCATAAATTGGCCGAACTTGTTTCGGTTGTCCCACTCAAGGAGAAGACCGACCCTCAGTCCGTGCCCCAACTCATCACTTGAAGTCAGGGTCTCGATGACTCGACATCCGACGGCCAGATGGATGAGAACCAGTTGTTTTGTTGTGTTTATTCTAGACAAACTGCGTTTCTTGAAAACGAAGCCTTGAGCAAGATGGCCAGGAGTCGTATGAAGACGCCGGCTCAGCTGCTTATTCGACGGGCCATCCAAAAGGACCTTATTATCCTCTCTCACACCACTGACCCACAAAGAATACGCTCTACTATCAGTGTAGGTTCCGCTTTTTTTCCTTCAAAGTGAACCTCTCATCATTTGTAAGATATAGAGCAGTGCAATTTACCTCCATTAGGCGAAGAGTATACTTTTTTTCGGTGGTTCCACTAAACTGTCCCCGTTGGGGCAGTTGAACTGCGACTCAAACCATTTGGTTTTAAAGAGCGTGTGCTTAAGAACGCACAGTTATTGTAAGCTCTGTAATCTAACAAAAAAAAAAACAAGTTTTTTGAAACCAGATATACGCAAATCCGGTCTAAATTTAACCACTATGTGATTCTTGCAGTTTCACCGCCTAGTGTGGTGAATAAGTAGTCTCCAACCTACACTTTTATGCTTTCTTACCACGTTTTTTTAGGTATTCGATTTTGAGCTCTCGCCCGATGAAGTTGCCAAAATGAATGCGATTGAGGAGACTGCCAGAGAAGAATGTTGCGATAAGTGAGGCTTGACTTTGTCTAACTACGCACTCTGCTACCGTTTAAGTGACTGCCATAGGTGAAATAACCCGGTGGAACTTGGCACATGTTTTGACTTCATCATCCTCATTGTTTCTTACCACCTCACGTCCAACAGGGAAGAGTTATTTAAGGATTCCCTTCCCATTTCTCACTTTCTCCTATTACCTCCTCTTTGTCGAAAAACGCATTGTTGAAGTCTACTTTTTAGTTGTCTATAGGCATTGCATGCTTAAACTACAATTGCCACCTAGCAGATGCCTGTAATAAATCATGCTGAATTAGGTACTAAGGTGTGGCTTAACATCGGCATTCTCAGAGTCTCCTTGGAGAATGTCTTGTTTAGCTACGAGGAGGAGGCGGGTACTTTGAGCTCCACAAAAGTAGTGGAATAGGAGGCAAAATTTACAGACCTACAATGTGGCAATGGAAGTTGCTATTTTTATGCTTGTCGGCAAAATATTTAAACTACGAATAGTTATTTTGAAAGTCAACACATTTGCTGTTGTGCTTTTCCTCCACTTTAGTCACACGAACTGAAACCTGGTTGATGCAATGAATACCGCTTGGTGGTCAATGCATTCTTCTATTCTCTTGTCCACTGATTTCGTAGCTATTCAATAAAGCGACCGCACAGTGTTCCTCTCCTCTTGACTAGCATTGGGGACTGGCTGGCTTTGCTTACACCGATGTCTGCTTTCACCGGAAGAACTTTCCCAACCCATTGTCATCTCGTTATCGGCCAGGTGGTGCAGAAATGCGGGGAAGGCAGGTTACACTAAAGTTGGTGGAAGCAGCAACTAGAGGTCTAGTTACCCTCAATCCATCCACATCGGATTGAGAGATTGGACGTTCAATGTGTTAATGGAGAGGTGGAATTAAGAGATCCCCGAAAATATTATGGAAATGGTCAGGGCTGTTGCTGTTTACTTACCTCAGTGGGTACTGTGAAGTGGGCGTCAAATAGACCGAATAACAGCTACAATGGCCACCCTGGATGATATGCAACTTTTCGGATGGGACAATTATGCATTATACAACAAGCTCTGTACGGTTATCTTTGCTTTCATTTATCTACGGGCCTACCGCTTTGCTTTCAGACCACACAGGGCGCTTCATTGAAGGCAGCAATTATTGCGTTGCATAACAATTTGTAGTACTTTGACTGTTTTTCTAGTAGCGGTTCACTCGGGGCTCCGCTGGGCAACTTGACCATCCCACAAGCGTTTCTTTACGTCGAATATACATGCTTTTTGTCCGATTTTTTAATGCCTTCTATTGTCTTTGGGGAAGTCTAGGGACGCTGCATTAGTGGCAGCGGAAGGGGAGCTCGATCATAAAGGGCCACCACACCGATTTCTACTGCTGGGTGATAAAACTTAACGTGACGGAAGTTGCTGCAGATTTGGGAATCTGTGTCAACCTCTAACAGAAGAGTTAAAATGACATCTACATCCGGAAACTATCCCAGTTCTGAAATAATTCATCACTTAGCTGTCTAAGATCCCTAGTATGAAGATGTCAACTAAGAGATGACACGATATTTCCTCCACTAGCGGGATAGGTTTCAGATATATATCGCTGAGCAGCATTGAGGTGAGAACAAACTGACAATGAGAAGTAGATTTGAAAACTTACCTCCAATGGACTATATCAAATTCCGTCCCTTGTAATTTAACGCTCCTTTTAGGCCAGTGTTTCTACGACTAGTTGTGGACATGCAAGATAAACAGTACAATCTTCCTTACCCCAGTCCAGTCCTTAAACAGGACGAATCTCCCGGGCCGGTAAAGATGCCAAAATTCGATGGCCGGAGTCGTTGGTTTGTATGCGTTTACCCTACAACACTGACTACGTTCTGACTGTTGACTAGGGAAGGTTAACTAAGGGCAGCATAGAGGACTCTGTGCAAAAGGAGAGAGGGCCCATGTTATATCTTGAACGTTTGTTTAACCCCTAGTGGTTGGGTGACCAGACCTCCGGGCCATGCTAGTAATCCACAGGTCCTTATCTGCGTCGACAATTAATTATCTGCCCAAGTAATGGACCTTCTCACGCAGCCGGAAGTCTCCGGGGGCCTGCAAATTGGTCTACGAATTTATTTATCTGTTCTCGTTAACACAGACTCCATGCATTATCAAAAGAATAGCGCAGTGTTTGAGAATAAATTTTTTATTCTACTTTTAAAGTCAAACGCGAGTTGCGAAGCTGTTTAGCAAGCAGCGCTGAGTGAGAATACTCGCCCCCTCCCTCCTCCTCCTCCTCCACCTGCTCCCTCCACATCTCTATCTGATTCAAGAAATGTCGGCGAGAATCACAAACTCTTCCCAACTCATGTTATCCAATAAGTGTTTAGAGTGGAAATGTTTGGAACTTTGAGGAGAAGTTCACCAAAGAACTTAAAAAATGTACTTGATGACAATGGTAAGTAAAATGACCCCAAAAATGCGCTATTGTTTAAATCATAAAAACGGTGGTACAGAAAGAGGAGAATTTAAATGGAATTTCCAAAAGTCTTGGATGGTGATGCTTATCTGCGACCCTACAAGAGTTCCAAAACGTTCGTTATCAGCGTCACATATGCGTGACATGCGTTCTTTAGTGGCCGTTACATCAAATTGTGCCGTAAACAGTCGAGCTGTGAGCTGAAAATGATGGAGCAGATGAGGCTGAGATTTGCAAACAGTATGATGTGAAGTGAAATATACTTTTTTGTTCTGTGTTGGTTAATGTAGCACCTCAAGAGTGCCCTGAAGACAAAAGAACTCTGAGTATGTGATGGTGACGTGGAGAAGGGGCTGCTGGCATAGCCCAAAGGCCAAGTCCTCCAGTAAAGATACAATGTTGGAGCCCCAGCTGCCCGAGTTGTCTGAGACGAAGAGTAAAACAAAGTAGTACGTGGCCCCTACCCCTTTCGAGCATATTCCCTGGGGATCCCCATGGTCAATCTGCCGCGTCGGCTATCACAACGTAGGTGGTGCTGTAGCAAAACCACTCAAGAACAAACAGCGCCACCCATCGAACTTGCTTACAACTGAAAAGACATTTGATGGCAACGCCCCTGATCCCCTTTGCTAATTCTGCAGGATCTGGCAATTTGGCTAGTTTGGGAACTGTACTAATGGGACGGGTGAATGTGCTTTCCATCTTGCATTTCCATCGCTGGTAGTCAGAATGCTGCCCTAAAAGTAGAGTAATTTGATAAAGAATGGGACATTAACAGTTTTGTGGGAATGAAGTTTTTTGCGCTCATCCCTCCGTGCCACTTTTTCCCCCTTCAGTGCTACCCAGTTATGTATTAGGGCTCCATCCAGTTAGCAGAGCAGCGGAGGTGGTACCGCGTGTTCACTCCATTGACATCTTCATACGTACACGGTAGACAGCTCCATAACAAACTTATCTATTTAATCCACGGCTAATGACGCTTCAGTTGTTAATACCATTCCTACAGGATACTGAACCGAAATGGCTTCTGGAGGTTGATGTAATTTTCAACTCTCCCATCGGGAGTTGTCACAGATTTCCCCATCCTCAGCATATTCCCTTCTTCCATCAGTGAGGGAAATAGGGGTAGTTCGCCTCCCATCACCACCAATACAGCGTTCTGAGCCTTTTCTGATGTTAAAAGGAAGTCCTGATATGAGTATAGAAAGTGTATTGCAGAGGCACAAATGGGCTTTCGAGGAGCTACTGGCATGCCCTAAAGACCATGCCGCCCAGCGAAAGTACAAAAACTAAGACTCAAGTGTTTGCGTGACAAAAAGAAGTGTTAAGCAAACAATCAGTGTTTTACACCTGAATTCACGTGGCAACTCTAGCAGTGAATGCGCCAGAGCTTGCCAAATGGCAACCGTTATTCATAATTACGAGCCAGATTTTGTTGGTTGTAATACATTTTACCATCATTTATGACCAGTACACTAGCCCCGAAATGGGATATGCTTGCGTCGATGGAAAAAAGGGGAGGCAGCTTTATGGCCTAGCCATGAGCAACCAATCATCAGACGACTTGGCAGCTTTTTCTCTAATTTACTCCGCCCTGGGTCGCCTCGATCCTCCTCCTGCATGCTCGCCTCCATACATACATGGTACCTAGGCGTATTTTATGCTCTTTCAGGTAGACAAAAATCGTTTCTTTTTACAGCCCAGTCATCAAAGTGCTGTCAGGAATGAAGTCCAACTAATTTAATGCATGATTAACCATTCATCACAAGCTTAAACATAACCTGGAAAAGTACACCACTATATTAAGTTGCTGGAATGGTTAAGGATACTCTAAGGCCAAAAATTTTTAATTAATTTGTCTGCCCTTGTCTATACCCCCTTGGGAAGCTTAGCTTTCAAAAAAAAAATAGTTAAAATTTCCTCAATACAACTCCGCAACTGTTATGTCAGACCGCAGTGCCTTGCAATAGGAGCGAACTCCCCCCGGACGAGTTTTTCACCTCGCAGGGCGAACGTGTCACGGACGTGGACTGACAAAATTTGTTTTACAGAGTAGCAAAAGTTTGCTACACAATTCAGATGAAAGCAACGCCAGGCAAATGACTTCCTGTTTAAGAAATCCCGGTTGTATGTGTGTGTGTGTGTGTGTGTGTGTTGTGAATGCATAAATATTAATGCGCATTATCTCTTATCTCCACGACCACTGGTTTAAGCAGTCAGCCTGTGCATTTTGGTTTAAAAAATCCTCAAATGATTTAATCCAAAACCAAGCCAACGCCCAGGGGTTGTGACATTTGTGCGCAAAGAAGAGTTAGCGAGGCAAATCCGAAACAAAGTGGTAAAAATAGCTCAAGAAGCAGTGAATCCTCAAGAGAGCCATCAATCATTTCCAAGTCCAAAAGAAAATTAAGTCCCCGCCGCGCCATCTCTTGCCGTAAAGCTGGAGTTTAACACGCCTTCGCCGAGATTGAGGCGGTCGTCAGCAGTCACTGCTCGGCAGTGACCACACTTTGAAGCCACCGTGTTGGAATGACATCCCTCATCCATAAAACGCACGAAAATTTAATCCAGGGGAATAATTAGTGCTAGCATAAAATAAACTTTGACTTTTCTAGGCAACCCGCGGCGTTCATGCGATCAAAGGGTCAAACATACAGCTGATTTTATCTGAACCGATCAATAGGTCATTTAAAATTCAAAGATATTTAAAAATTTGACAGCCAAACAGCACGCTTGAAGGCTATGACTCAAAGCAGGTTGAGTGACTCCTTTCAGAGGCTGAAAAAACGCTGTACCTTTCGTAGACACTCTGATGGCGATGTCGAGAATGCCTGTCGTGGTGAGTCCGCAGCCAGCATGCTTGTCACTTCGTTATGTCCAGGTTATGCGTTGCCCTTCCATTTGTATCAACAAAATTTCTGTGTCATGTTCCAGTTAAAGTCAAAACATCTTGCAACAATAAAAAGGCAGAATTTGGACCGGTGTATGGAGCCGATTTGTCTTCTCAGCCTCAGTCATTAGAACATCCGGTAGGTGACTTGTCTACTCAGCTTCAGAGGGAAAATGAGCTCTTTTTTAATGACCTATGTGATAGACAGCTGCATTAAAACACCAAGAAGCACTCATCATTTGTTTCACAGTTGGGTAGACGGCGGATTTTGCTAATTATACTTGTTAGTTTCATTGGTGGTATTCTACTTATAAGTACCCAGTAGTATTTATTTTGCCTTTCAAAGGGCGTGCCTCGCCTGCTGGAATTGCTTGTCAGCGCACTGGAGGCCACGGGTTTGGATGCTTTTGGTCTATACCGTGTGCCAGGACGCACATCATCCATTAAGGTGGCCATTAAGTTCATCAAAGAGGTCAGTTATTCGCTACGCCTTAAAAGAGAGCGCAAGATCATCCTCCAAATGTCAACACACAAAATTGCGGAAGTTTTATTACGTGAATAATTAGTCTTGCATATTTATATGAGTTAAATTTAGTAGCTTGCTTATTTTCTATAAAGTAGATTTGATCTGAAACACTATGTTCACGTGTTCTCAAGTTGAAATCCAGTTGTTGTTGAGCGTGTAGTTAGCAGTATACAGCGGTTTCTATTAGTTCGCAGCATTTATGTAAAATAAGCAAAAAAAGTAATAAATCAGGAAATCTTAGTTGTTAATTTATGAATTTTTTATTCGTCTCCAGCAACCCAATGATATTGAGAACATTTTCAAGCTTCACGACCTGGACAATAGCTCTGTGTTAACCTCCCTAATCAAAAGGTATCTCATGGCCCTGCCCCAGAAACTTCTTGACTGCGGTATGTTAATTTCATAATTGAACTGCAACAAAGGAAGAGATGAGAGGAATAATGGAATTAATTTAGGCTCGTGGGATTCTATTGTGGAGTCCATTTCCAACGAAGACATTCTAAGTCCTATGAAATTACCAGAAATTCTCTGCCAAATCAGGACTAAGATTGAGAAGGCCTTTGGTTCGGTGGGTAATACAAGCTGTTACATTTTAAGAAAGAAAATGGCATTGTTTAAGTGAGGTTTTTACCTTTCCATTTGACATAAAATTCCAAAGATTTGCAAACAAGCTCACAGCGGGATTTTTAATGCACAAAAACTTGTCCTTTTCAGTTGCCAAATATGGTAAAACAGTCCCTCCTAATTCTTAAGATATTTTATCATGTCGGTTCTCTCTGGAACCGTAATGCCGCCCACCAGTAGGGAGGTCTACCTTGTTACGACTGCATAGACTGAGTGGGTGTCGGTGTGTAGACATACTGGAAGGTGATACCGTCGCGACGGAGGCACAACCTCATTAACAATGTACTCAGCCAACTGTCTAGCCACTCCAACGCTTTTTTAATCGTAAAGGATAATGACACAATTATTTATTTGGTACTACGTCCTCGTACCTTCGAAAGTATTGATTAGTTCGACGGTTTGTCAAGAGTTGCTCCACCACTTTATCATCCCACTAAGGTGGATTGCATTGTTTGCGCGAAAAGGACATTCCAGTCAAACTTTAGTTAGCTCTCCTTTAAAGTTAATTACATGATATTCCTAACATGGCAGTTTTTTGTCCTGCAGGCAGTGGAAAGTTCCGATCTGAGGGGCGGACACCAGTTGTCAGAGACTCAATGTCGTTTGGCAACATTGCGCTTTGTGATGGATCACTTGCAGCGCGTCATTCAGGCTCAAAAGGCTAAGAGCGTGACCTATGAATCATTTTCGATCTGTCTCACACCATGTCTATTCGGCATTGAGGCTCACTGCAGCAAGGTTGTCTTACACTACCAAATATGATCAATTTAACTTAAACCCCACTGCCCTACTTATATGTAGACTGGTCTAAACATCTGGTTTAATAAGAATGTACTTTTAGCTCATTCTAATTGTTATACTTTTTGACCATTTTGGATGTGGAAGGTCCTAGAAATAATTTTGGAGCACTGGAACTGGATTGGACGAAGTCTTTTGCTTAAACCTGAGGACAAATCCTCTTTCGAGATCCTGTGGGATGCACGGCGTTACGTTCTTGGGTAGGACTTCTCAGTAGCAACTTTTTGAGCGTCTTGCAACATCAATCCAACTTCGATATCCGACATTTCCATGATTTTTTTAGGAATCTCCGGACGAAATTCTTCAACAATCCCTAACTTCAGACAATTTATCGACTTTATAATACCTGCTGATAGAATGCTAACTTGAAGGCTGATTTCACCATATACTGTCACATGTTTGTTAAAATAAAAGATGCCAATTTCACGCGTTTTTTGGTTCATCTCAGATGGTATCAGCACTCCAAGTTCAACCATCATCCACCAATGAGCGTGAGACATGGCAGTGGCCAATCAGATCAGAGTGTGGTAGAACAGGTTATATAAGCTGATGTCGTGCTGAGACATTACTCGCGGATTGCAATGGAGCAGCCTCTTGTTGAGCTATTTGTGAAGGCCTCAGGCGTGAATTGGAATGATAAGGGTGCTTGTCCCTTTTCACAGAAATGGTTCATGGTGTTCTACCGGCTTGTGGAATGCCGGATGATCAACCTCCGAGTTATTCCCGTCTCTATGGCTAACCCACCGAGTGAGTACAGTCGACTTGACATGGGGAAGCAACTACCATCCATCGCCTTCTACAGCAAGCCCAATGATGATGAAAATGCATATGACCCTCCGGACTTCGTGTGTGACGGAAATGACGAATTGGAGGAGTTCCTAAGGTCAAAATACGGCTCTGTGATGAACATTGATGCGCAAGAACAGTGGGTTGGGGCAGATCTACTGCGAAGTCTTAACCACTTCTTGCGTACAGGGTCCTCACAGCAAGTGCTGACCAATTTCTCCTCAGTGAATGAGCATCTCCGGAAGGTGAGTTTTCATTTGGTACTCACCATGACATGTGTCCCGCAAGATACTCATGGTCTTAGGATGTACTTCACAGGTCTGAAGTATAAAATAAATAAGGAATAGTAAAGGCCATTTAGAACTCTTCGTTCATAAAAGCTAAAATATTAACCTGTTAATGCGTGAATCGCTGGAAGGAGGAATATTTTTCACTAGTCCTTCAGTATTGCATCGTCATTTAGGGCGCTGAGTTGCAGTGACGGAGTAATTGAAGTCATTCTAGCTCCTGTTTGGCACTGTTTGCAAGTCAAACTTTTACCGCTCCTCTTATCCGTTTTTGGCTTCTAGTAATTAGTCCTAATGCGAAAAGATCTGGCGTGGCATCAGATGCCTTAATGAGTTTAAAGTCACAATGTGAATTCAGACTCGACTGTTGCCCGATGCGTTTGACAATTTGACATGTTGCCGATAATTAATGTGATTTACGGACCCACCGATAGCTTAGAATGACATGAATGTTCCGTGCGACGCCACCGAATATAAGACGCGAAGGCAGCCATTTGTAAGCGTGAGCTCTTCCCTCTGACAAAATTTTCCTATTTATCCACTCTTAATCATTCGCGAATTTGCAACTCGTGATCTGCCTGGTAGCAAAAAAGCTGACAACTTTATTAGTCACAGTGACATACTTTGATGGCCCCACCAATCGTGCTGCTTTCATTTTTTCAACAGACAAACACCACATTTCTTGAGGGTGATGACTTCGCCTACTCTGACTGCGTGCTTGCATGCAAATTGCATCACGCGCGTATTGCCGCCTCCTTCTTCCGTGGACTCAGCATTCCCAGCAAGTTCTCCCACCTCTGGTCCTATATGAAAGCTGTCTACGCTACGAGGGCGTTCACTGTCAGTTGTCCGCTGGATCGTGACATTCTGCTGCACTACCTGGAAAAAGTGGACTTCGTCAGCACGGAGGCCAGGAATGAGGCTCACCACGAAATTATCACCCTTCCGCAGGACAAAATGAGCACATTCATTCCAGGTGAAGATCCGGAGGCCTCGGCCCAGATGCCACGTCTCACTTGTTCTGGATTGAGACTTTTCGTAAACAGCGTGATGCCAACCATGGAATTTGACAGATCTCTACCAAATAGAATAAGTCGTCTTTTTAGTGTAGTGAAGTAGACAAGAAGTGCAAATGTTCCCTTTCTTCTACTCCACTTGCAAAATGTACCCAGAAAACAATTTCCACTCTCTGTTTTCCAAATGCACATGCACACACAATCTCTCACTTGTGTTCATCCCGTTGCTATGACAAACGTTTGACATTCCTACATTTGATATTTTCATCAAATTTATGTTATTTTTACCTCTACGATCTTATCATTTTAAACTTGGCTTGTCGTAAGGGGAAAAGTAAATTTTCTGCCAGATATTGCGCGCTCAAAGAAAAATGATCAGCAACCTTCTGACAGTGCTGCTAGACAACTAACCACCCGCCAGGTGACCTGTCAGTGTTGTTAGTGGCTCTTCACGCCAAGTCATAACTTTGCCTTCGACTACACAACCATCATGAGAAGAAAAAGGCCCGGTAACATTTTACAGTCGCATACCATAACGCTTCCGGCAAATTATGGGTAATCTAGAGTAGATGACGCTAGCAAATAAATAATAGTAACGCTGACCGTTTACTAGTAGTATTAGATGCTATATAAAAAATTAACTAGTGTGCCATCCCACCTAGTCAGTTATAAACCCATGACTAGCTCTTTACTCAATTTTGTCATAGAACTTGTTAAATTACCTGATGAGTGAGTCACAGTGATAGTTGACTCTGGTGCGTAAGTTTTGGGGATGCTGATCTTTAATCAGTAGTATTGAACACTGACTTAGAAATTAGCTAGTATGTCATTCCACCTAGCCAGTTATAAACCCACGATTAGCCGTTTGCTTGACTTCGCCCTTGAACTTATAAAAGTGCCTGATGAGTAAGTCAAAGTGACTTCATTTTGACAATAAGAGAGCTTACGTTGACTTGCACATGATCCTTCTGCAAGAAAGATCATGTGCAAGGTGATCTCTTATTAAATAAACTTAATTGAACTATGTATAATGAGAAACCAAAGCTTACTCATCGTACGAAGGTGGAGTGCATTTCACGCCAGCACATATTCAGGTAGAGTTTCCAGACAGCACATTGAGCTTAGGGCAGACTAGGTCACATCTCTGCCCTCTTAAAAATGTCTGTGTGATCCGTCTGTGGCATAAGAACATATCTAAGTAATACTACTTCATCAGTTTGTCTCAACAGGCGTAAGTTTTGTTTACCCATCTGGTCTGGCCTCTACTTTGACCTCCCAAGGATGGGTGGAACCACTTTGCGGGCCAAAATGATGCTCCTGCACCTGAATCAGGTACACCCGGGACCTAAGATGTAGAACCCAGTCTAGTGTTTTAATAATTTGGGCACTTTGACAACCTTAGGGATAAAAATTGATCACGTCATGCCAGCTTGACATTTCCTTTATGTCGTCCAGGGGGTAGATAAGGTCTTCCATCTATCGCTGCCACCGAAATCGGTGATAGCTTATATAACTCTTCCGTACCTAAAAGCACCTATCTAGCACATGCTCCAAAAGTTGCCATGAGGCATAAAAATGTTTATCCTACTCCCATTTTGGGAAGAAAGTGATTAACAAACCTCTACTCCTTCCAAATAGAAAACTCTAATAAGAAATTCCATTCCCCCATTTTTTACGAAGGCCTAAAAATAGACTTTCGGAGTAATCTATTTGCAGTTAATGTTAAAAGGTGGAGTAGTGAAAGGACGGTAAGGAAGAAAAAATTGGTTTGGGGGAAGAAAAAGGCACATTGAATAGTCAGAGGTCAACTCTTGCCATGCAATCGTCAATACCACTTCTCAGGTCAGGGAGGGGGCAACCAGCAGAATCAGATAGGCAATATGCAATAGGCACTTTCACAACGTCCTGATGTCGCGGCTTTAACGGAACTCAGAGTCAACAGCAAAAAATTGTCAAGGCTTTTCACGTGCACAAATCGAAATTCGCCAACGCGAAGGTCACCTTGAAAGTTAGCCAATGGGAGGTGGAGTGTCGCGAAATGCCGCGCAAAGTGTTTGGCGGTGGCGGCGGGTGAGAACACCGGGAATCATTTAGTGCGAGCACCAAATGAGGCCACCAATTGGCTAAGCAAACGGAATGACAGTTCCCCCTGTGCAAACTTGCAGTGTGGGAGAAGCTTTGACATAAGAATAGCGTTAAATTGACAACGATCTGATGTGAACAGGCTACTGGCATCTAGGTGATCCGCTAGATTGCTTCTCTCTCTCTGATGCTGATATTGGGCAATCTGATTGAACAAGAAGAAGATGCAAAATGACTACGCAGTGTTCTTTTTCGACGCTTCACCAAAATCTGTTCCAGCCGACACAGTGAGTAGAGAAAGTTGAGAGAGAGAGAGAGAGAGAGAGAGCGAGAAGAAAAGTAGATGAGGAGCAGGGGCAAAAGAAGAGCAAAGGAAGGGAAGCACATGCTTGGAGATAAGATACACAGAGATGTTACGGTCTTAGTGTAAGCATAAATTAACGGATTTAGAGCTCCTCATTGCCACGCTTAATGAGGTGGACAAACTTCTCGTAGTCCACCTGGCCGCCTTGAATGGGAGCCTCTTTCCACGTCTGTCGGATCTACATAAAAGCATTAAAAAACTAGTTAAATGTGGTGCTTGTTAACAATGGATCAGTTAGGTGACTGTGACATAGGCGATTGCCAACTTTAATGGGTTACATAATAAAAGAAGAATAGTGAAGTGGGACTAACCTCTTCCTGGGTAAAGTTATCACCCATATGTTCAAGGAGGTCCTTCAAGCTGCAATTAGGCAAAAAAGCCAAGTAAAAGCCAGCCCTTTGGTGATTTTAGCATACCAATGTAAGTGATCGCTTACTACTCCTCGGGAATGAACTTTTTGTTGTCCTCATCGAACATAGCAAAAGCATTCATCAGAGCATTTTCGGGGTCAGTACCGTTGAGTTTTTCTCCGAAGAGATTGATGAACATGGTGAAGTTGAGAGGACCTGGCGACTCATCAAGCATCTCCTTCAACTCCTTGTCGGATGGTGTACGACCCAAAGAGGCGTACATGTCTTTCAAGTCCTCAATATCGATGAATCCATCGCGGTTCTGATCGATCAGAGTGAAGGCCTGCAAACATATAATACAGCAGACATACAGTCTAGTTAACCTTCATTTTTTACAGACAAATAGGCGATAGACAAGCAAAATATAGTGTTCTACTTCTAGGAGGATTTCTGGTGGTAAAATTGTGCGGTACTCACTTCCTTGAACTCCTGGATTTGAGTCTGAGGGAACATGCCGAAAACGTTGGAGGTGGCACGATGTGCACGCTTGCCCTCCTTCTTCTCGCCACCACCTTCAGTCGCTTCTCCGGCATCACCTTCCTTCTTCGACTTCTTATGCTTCTTCTTCTGCTCGTGGAAAATAGAAATTTTATAACTAGCACTTTATGGCACATTACTACTTAAGCGCAGATAAGTAGTAGATGTCGATAAATGTAGGCTGTGGCTTCGTGCGTTTCTAAGGTGTTTTCTTCCCGCAAATTTTGGCAGGAGAAAGCGTGCAAAAATTTAAAATTGCAGCGCATTTAACCTGATGACAGCATGCCTTTATATAAGCAGTTTTTCAAAATAAACTGGACTAGGCTAGATCAGAAAGCCTCCGCTCCAAGAGAGGATTGAGGCCATTTTTCAAGCATGTCATTTTCTTCGGGTCAAAATTCTTACCTCTTCAGACTTGACCTTTGTAAATTTAGGCAGAAGATGAATTAATTTTTGACCATGAGTGATTTTAAATTGATAATACAAACGAGTTTATTATCATTGTTCGCATTTTTAAAAGAAAATCTGAGACGATTTACTCACTTGTTGAGACTGTAGGTAGGCTTAAAAGCAAGCATTTTGTTTGATAACTAAAGGTGTTTCTGGTGTAATTAAAGTGGTGCAGATAATCATTCAGCACACAGTGGTCAAATGAGGTGGTTAGTAGGGTTATCATCGGAAACTCACTTCTTCTGGCTTTGCCTAAATTCAAGAAGCATTTGGCATCGTGTGCAACTGGGTGCTGTCGCA